CGGGAAAATTCTCTATACAAAATTAAGAACATTCTGCATATCGGTGTCAAACTTGTGCCAGTTGAGCTTTTCTGGCCCTCATCTAGACTGTGCAGCTCCATTGGATCAATCTGGAGTCCGTATTCTTTGAAATCTAAGACGTTTTCCAACCCTTGCATGCTGTTCCGAATCGCCCCAGCAGGGGGTGATTTGTAACAGCCATGGGGCTTTTCATAACCCCCACATTAAATGAAACATCGTCAGGAATGTTATCTCCTCCCAGTTGTTCTTCGGGAGTCCTGCAGACGTCTAAATATCTACATTACAAGCTGCCGTTGAACGCCTCAGCGTTAACTGATAGGCTATGTCAATCCTAACCTCACTTTTTTCAACTTTAGAGGAAAGCATAGAATAACTCGCTTTAAAATGCATTTCGAGCTGTGTAAATGTATTGGAATAAAACAGCAGATAATTCGAGAAATAATTCAAGCATTTAACAGCAACTGCTGCGCTGCGCGGCCACGGCGACAGGTGTATTTACATTAAAAGGGGACTTGAACACATGACAGAAATGGGACACCTGTTTTTTCAATCACCCCCGCTACTATCAAATTTAAACACTGGGTGGAAATGGACTATGTTGTTTTCGTTTGTTATCGTTGCGACGCAACAGACGGCTGCGGTGCGGCGCGGCTGCGCCGGCGGGCGGGCAGGGCAGGCGGCAGTGGGCAGTGTGCCGGTGCGGAAATTCGGAAGCCGTGCGACTCGTGCGCCAGTCGCCAGCCAGAATCTCGTCGGGGTCAGGGTTGTTGTGTGTTGTTGTTGTCGCGTAGTGAGTGAGTGATCTGCTTGAGTGATTTTCGCGTTGTGCCCGCCGCCGGCGCTGTGCTATGTCGTCTCGTGCTCGAGAGGAGGCCGAGGAGGCCGAGGCCGTTGAAAAGGTGGAACCGCACCCAGCCGCGCCCGCGCCGCCTGCACCACCACCGCTCCAACAAGAAGTGCGTGACCGTGGCCGACGACGGCGAGGTTTGATAACACGTGGAGGTGGAGGTGCCGCCTCACGGACGCCGACGCCATCACCGACCAGCTCGTCCTCGTCGAGTCGGACCACGACGCCCTCGCCCTCAAGTACTCCACCACCGCCGCTTGTGCCACTGGCGCCAACAGGGCGACGACAGCTTGTGTTAGACGTAGACGCCGGACCCAGTACCAGCGGATCCGGCGCCGACAAGTCTTAGGGCAGTGCCAAGGCCAAGGACTTGATAGATGAAACGAAGATGAAGCTTGCTACGGGAGAGTACATCACCCAGCCCAAGGTAATAGCTCCGGGCCAGAAACGATCTGACGCGTGGGACACGTTTTACGCTGTCGTTACTAAGGCAGGCAAATTTGGAGTGGGCACAGCCCAATGCCAGCGGTGCACGGCCATTTTGGTGTGCAAAGGGGGCCCCTCTTCCATTGGCAAACATGCCAAACTTTACTGCCCTGGCGCATCCAAGATGAATTCAGATTTTCAGCCAGTGCCCCCAAACTTCAAGCAATTTTTCGTGGACAAATTGGCAGACACAGTGGCTTTGACCCAGGGGTCGGTTCACCTCTTAACGAGTGAACCAGTGAAAAGCCTCTTGCAGGTTCTTGCTGACATCAATGCCGCGTGCAAAGGGCGCATTGATGTTGAGAGTCTTGTTCCCCACGCAACAACCGTCATGGACAGAGTGGAGCAGAGGGCGGACGAGTGCAGGCAGGAACTGGTGCCTCGTGTAAAGGAAGCTATTAATGACCGCCGTTGTCAGGGCACCGCGGACATGTGGACCGATGATCAAAACAAAAAACATTTTGTGGCGATCACGGTTTCGTTCACGAACAAGGACTGGAAGGGGGAAGGCCCCGAAACTCATGATTTGGTAGTAGCTGAATTCCCGACCACCCAGAAAGCCACCAGTACCAACATCAGGGCCGCCATGCTGCGTGCCATGGTCGGGCTGGGGTTCACTGAAAGTGAATTTGAGAAGATCGAGTGGATCTCCGACCGTGGCGCCAACGTCAAGAAGGCACTGGAAGAGATGGAAGGCGGCCGGGAAGACTGCGCGGCGCATCAAATAAACACCGTACTGAAGAACACCCTGTCAGTCCCATATTATGAGCTGCGGGGGACGGCGATAAATGGGTCCGAAGAAGTTCAAGAGCTCGTGAAGGTGTACGAGGAGGGGACGGCCCTATTAGTAGGAAGTCCTGCGCACAAGGATTATTCGGCTATTCGCCGGAAGGAGTTTCTGCCTTTATGGAGTGTGTTAGCTATCGACAGGAAGGGATTCCTGCGATTCTCTCGGCTTCTGACTATTTGCAGGGATTGTTCAAGAAATAAATATGTTCCTGCCAATAGATTGCGTGAATCGAAAATGCAGGAATTCCTGCGCATTTTTATAAGAGATGCTATTTACAAAAATTCTTGCATATTTCCATTAAAACTGCTATAAACAAGAATTCTTGCTGATTCACAAATAAAATGTTATTCCCAGGAACTTTTGCCCATTTCAAGTACTATGTACATCAAATGGCCATCTAAGTTTATATTTATTTTGGTTCTTTTGGCTGAGTTCTAGGTATAGGACGGAGTGATCGACGATGATGATGTGGACACCTTGCGGAATCAGGCAGTCAATCACACACTCTGCTTTGTCGTGGGCGAAGATATTTTGACCACCTCAGATTTGGCCTGTGTCAGGATACTCACCCGTCTCGGGCATGGCTCTGCCCCCATCGTCGGACCAGTAACGGTGGCTGATCGTCTGGTGTTCCCAGCTGTGAGACCAGTCATCATTGTCCCACGCAACGCTGAACTCCCGAACATTCCAGATGCGCCTGTTGTACCCACAGCTCAAGAGTGGCGTGCATTTTATTGGCGCTATGCCAATAATTGGGCGCAGTTGGATGCGTGTGAGGCTGGCATCCATGCAGCGGCAGAGATATAGGGTACTTTCGTAGAATCCTGAACCGGAAGCAAGCAGACCAGCAGAAGCCAAATTGGCCGGAAACTAACCTCTCTTCGGATCCAAAACTATAGCCGAGCTGTACAAATATTGCTCGCGAAACACATATGCACTGCAAACAAGTATCAAACGACTATTTATGTTCAAGTGTGGCCGATACCTTTGACGAACGTCTCTTTCCCATGTCAAGTTTGGATCTACTTCCGCCAACATGGCGTCTGTGTGCTTCCGGCTCAGGGATCTACGAAAGTACCCTATTCTCGAGTAGATGGCAGCAAGCCCCTACTTTGGAGTTTCCTCGCCCCATAGCCCAAGCTAGGCGTCAAGGTCGTGCTGCACGCCGAATCGTGCCTCCTCCAGCCCCAAGAGACTTCGAGGTCATACGAGTGGATCACGAACCGTTCGTCTGGGCCAATTCTGTGAATGATCCGGAAGATCTAGCGGATGAAGTTGAAGCTGAAGAACACCCCCAGCAGGACACGCATCAAACATTATGGAATGCCGAGACTGGTGAGGCTATTCCCAACTGTTACGTTGCGGTACGGCCTACCCTTGAGTCAAGCAGTGAGTTGCTATTACCGATGATGGGTAGCCGCAATGCTGTCCAGCACATGTTGGGCGTTGGGAGGAAGCTACCCGGTGGTCCAGCCCAAGAGTCGGTCGTTCGGCTGTTCAACACGCTGGGGGTACCTGCTGACCTGGCTGCGACGATCTTCGGAGCCATAGTCTCCAGTCAGGCGACTGCGTCGCTGCACAGCTATAACCTTGACGGTTATGACTTGACTTCCATGCTATTCGGCATGGCTGGT